CAAGAGGTAAACATTAAGCTTGATATACAGTTCAAAGCGAGCGTGAGCGTGAACGTTCGCAAAGGCAAAGAATTCCATTTGTATTCTTATGGACGCTCACACACATCTGTCAAAACTTGCCGTTCACATGCGAATGCTTTGCGTACGCACACAGTTGAGTGTGAGCTCGAAAAAAGGCATATTATGCATTTTGAATTAGTTTTTGTTCTACAATTCTGAAAGATATTTTAATTCTCTATCTTTTCATGTCTCAACTATAGCAAAAAGTGGAGTAATAACGAAGATATTGGTCAAAATAAAAAACTCACGCTCACGCTCGCATTCAACTGTATATCAGGCTTTATTAGTAGTTGTTTGCAAGTATTTGATAGCAAAACTTTTATAATAGAAAGCTCCCATAAAAGCTAAATGAATAAGTACTTGTTTAAGGGCTACCGACGGTCCGTCGGTTATTCTCTCAACAGGTTGTGTACGTAAAGTAGTGAATAGTGATGTGCTGAGTCAATACTTTTAAGTATTTATCGATACTCGGTACGGATTTAAAAAGTATCCAATACTTTCGATACTCGGTACCAAAATGTTGGAATTTCTAATAAGAGCGCACACCATCCAAAAACAAGGGAATAAAAGTACTTCAGGGGAGCCTCGCTTATGAAAACCCAAGTGTAGGGACATATAGAGATTTTAATGTGCAGTAAAACTCTAATTTGGCGGAGCTGTGGTGTAGTGGTAAGCAGTGCGCGATTCCACTCCGCAGGCAAACTTTCGAGTGTATTTATACCATAAAAATAGATTCTCATAAAAATACAATCGCCGTTCGGAGTCGGCGTAAAAACTATAGGTCCCTCCCCTTTGTGTGACAACACCAAGGCGCACGCCACAAATCGGAGAAGCTCGGCGAAGCACTAACATATGTGCAAGCGCCAATCTGTTATTATTATTATTATTATTATTATTATTAAAACTAATTGTATATACATTTTTCTTATAGATTAGCGAAAATAAAAAATCGCAATGTGGATATCTCTAAAACTTCATAAATATCACTTTCTCGTGCTCCAAAGATATACCAACCGGAATTCTACTTCAAATGACTTTAATACATTCAACATAACAAGCTATTAACTCATAGCTTATAATTAAAAATAATAACTAAAAGCATTATGCACTTACATATACAATATTTATTGATGGTTGAATTTTTATAAATATCATTTATTTTTACTCAAACAAAAAAATTTCTCCACATTATTCGCGTGAAACTGTCATCGCCACTATGCAAATCGTAACATCGCTCACGATCTTCAAAGGTAACACAACTCAAAATTACACGTTTGTCAGAAAATGCGAAAGGCTATTTCTTGGCACATACTTCTACTTTTTTCAACAAATTATAACAAGCATTTACTCCAGCTTTTACTAAAAAGTACATTTTTAGCGTACAATTTCAAAAATGCCAAATTTTGAATTGTGTCACTTTTTGAAGATCTTGTGCGATATGTGCTTTAAAGCGAGCGTTACCTGAGCTAAATAATGTTGCCACCAGAACTATTGCAGTTGGTTGTTGCGACTTTAGTATTGTCGAGATTGATTGCCATATTTGTTCGCCGCTTGCTTCACTTAACCACACATACTCATCTTTTAGAAACGTCGTCTTCTTTGTACTTTTTGGGTTTTTGAGCGATGTCAAATAAAATATTGGATTTTCCAAACTTAAAATGTATATATGTATACATATTATGACGTAAGTTGGATGTATCTAATCGGTATTGGGTACCGACATTTTTTTCAAGTATTGGGTACCGAGTATTGGGTACCGACAATGCAGCTCATCACTAGTAGTGAGGGTAAGAAGGGGTAAGGTAAATGAGCTTGGTAGAGAATGTAGTAGAAGGTAGTAGAAGGAGTAGGGTGACCAGACGTCCTGATTCATCAAGACATACCCTGATTTAAGGGCCGAATTAAAGTGTCCTGACTGACTTTTCATTTGTCCTGATTTTTACAAAGCGTACAAGCGTACAAAATTTTTCGATTGTCACTAACACATATATAGAGCACGCTTTCCCTAAATTTTTTCACCGGGGCACCCTTTTTGTGCTAAAAAAATTTTCCTACTCTTAAAATGGTTTGACTGTTTAAGAAAATAAGAAAACACAATGCAAATTTTATGCTCATTGAGCTTTAATGTAAGGAATGAAATTGTTTTGATGATTTCATTATTTTCTTAAGTTTATTGGAAGCTTTGCCAATTTTATCCTTAAATCATTTGACGCTGAAAGCTTGCTTCTGTATTTGTTTTTTATGTAAGCATTTGTTGAAAATGCAGACTCACATATGGGCAAATCCTAGCGTTGCGTTCGGATGTTTCTTTTAAACCTTTTGCTACAAAAAATAGTATGTATAAGCTAAAAATTTTTGGTGTTATAAGGGAAGGTTTATTTGAATTTGAGTTAATATCGGTCTATTTGCCTTAGAAATTTATGTTCGGACGTTACTGAAAAAGGAAGCGATTTTGATATGACCATCAAAGTCAACCGACTTGCGCAAATTGACATGCATGGAGAGCTCAATCTACAAAAATACTTTGAAGAGAAAATAATGAAGTTTACAAAATGTGATACAAAAGCAAACTAAAGGTTGGATTAACATTAAAACAATTGTATATGTGCGTTCGGGACGTTACGTTACGGAGGTTACTCTTTTTTTCCGTTGAAAAAATGTATTTATTTAAAGCGATATTGTTGTATTTTATTAAAAGATATAGTGCTTCAAACCAATGCTATTTAGAGCTTTATTTCAACAAATAAGAGGGGCAAATTAGATTTCTCAAATAAATGTGAAAAGAAATATGAAATAACAATATTTTGTACTATTCCCTTTTTGACACAAACATGAGAGAACTCGAATTGCATGCATTTTATGCGATTTTGGTTGACTATTTCTCGGATTCGCCCATATGTAGATATTCTTGCAACCGAAGAAAGTTGGAGATGTATGCGCTTTCAACACATGTTTTAAAAAAAATAATTTTTTTTTGGCAAGCCTCTTATTTTTTCCAATTGAGCTTCTCCCTTGCCTTGAGGAGGTGTGGTGGTTTTATTTAGTTTTTGAATATGTCAGAAAGGTATCCCAATCAGTCAAATTATTTCAGTTAAATTTTGAACCAAAGACTGCTCTGTAAATGTGGCCACCAGTGCATCTTTTTTCTCAAAAAATGTGGCTAAAATCTTAAAAGCCACCGGAAAAGGTAAAAGTGATCCGTACCCATGCCTTCAGCGGCAAGTTTTTAAAGGCTTGAAGCGGGCGACTCTTAGCTTAATTATTTATCCTCAAAGCGTCACCCATATACGGTTTTTGAACCTTGTGGTGGCATCTTTGTAGTCGCCAGGGAATGCGGATGGATCATACAGTGGCTGCTTGTGGAGTTTTCTGCCACTTGCCGCCTACTAGACATCGCTCCTTTCGTTTTTCCAACCACTCCTGCTACTCCATCACAGCAAATATCCGCACACTTGCTCCCTTTCAAACCATTTTTCTTTAAAAATCTGTCGATAGCTTTAAAAATTTCGTCACCAGTGGTGAAAGTCTCAAGTACTCCTCCCATCAAAAGTTCTTCCTCGATTTGCGTGGAGAATGGGTACCTCACAAACACAAGAACAACAGCAAGTCCCACTACGTCGGTACTTTCGTCAAAGCTGCAAACTAAAAAATTCAAAGCTTTCAATATTTTTATAAGTTCGTTCTCGACTGCCTCTGAAATTGTGTTGATTCGCCCTTTCACAGTGTTATTGTGAAGTTCCGAAAAATAAGTAACGCGAAGCTGCTGCGCTGATTACGAGAGCAGTCCAGCCAGCAAAATAATCCGAAAACTAATCGGACAACGGAAAGAAAAGTGGATGAAATGGGGATTTTTGTCCGTTTATTGATTCAATTTGCGGACACCTTGACGTTTCGTTTCACACTACCGAAAATGGTTGTGTAAAGGATAAGTTTTCGGCTGTTTTTCTGGTTCAATTTTTCTTTGACAAAATGCACTGGTGAGCTACGCTTAAGAGCGAAATACACCACACAAGCGTCTTGACAAAACAAGCGAAATATCCCTTTGCCTCAAGACATTTGTGCTGTGTATGGGGTTTGACAAGCCGCTTGAGGGAAATTTGAACAAAAATCTAAATTTTTTGATTTTCTGGCCACCACGTGGACGTTTTATCAAACCACTTGCATTGTGTATGGCAAAATCGCCTCATTTGCAACGAAATTTTCACCGAGTGAGGACGTGGGAGAGAAGAATGGAAGAAAATTAAAATTTGTTGCATGCTGAACCGGAAGAAAACTAAAATTGTTTGCTTGAACGAGTCATGTTTGCATGGTGTTTGGCGATATGGAGAAAGTAGCTTGTCGAACAGTAGACACAAGATAGTAAAACTGTTACCATATACTAAAAATTAACTCTACTGCTTAATTACAAAACTTTAATGAAAGTTTAAAAAATTTGCCTCCACCACTACTACATATACACTATCCGGTAGCGGCACCCCTGGCATACGCTCGCGGCACCGCAGGGTTCCACGGCAACCACTTTGGGAAGGTCTGATATAGAGAACAAGTTGCCAGTACTCTGGCGAATGAAGATGCCATAAGATATCCTATTGAGTTTTATCCTAAGCATCCGACCTGTTGTACTTAAAGAAGGTGTTGAGCTTTTGTTCGCTTGCACTTGCCTACATCCAACAACTCTCAACTGAAAGCTCTCAATTCTTACCATTGAGCGTAAAATCAATCATTTCAAAACTCTGATGGAAAAGAAAGTGATTGTGCTTTCAAAAAGGCAATGCCCTGATTTTTCCTTCGACTCATCTGGTCACCCTAAGAAGGAGAGATGCAATCTCAAACATGCATAGGGTGCTGAACACAAAAGAGTAGAAAGCTATATTAGAATGTTTAAGGGCGCATGGGAGTACGGTAAAGAAAACCAACAGCAGCAACATAAACATTACCACTATCTCTCTGTTTTTAACAAGAGCACAGACTGCTAAATTCATAACTTGCCGAATCCTAAAATCTTAGTAGACAATGCAACTTTGACACAGGCCACACACGTTGAACACTTGTTGGCTAAGTTTTCATCCTCAGTTACTTACTTACATATGTGTGTGCAAAAAAATTGATATAGCCGTTTCAAAGGCAGACCAAGACTGGCCAATAGACAACCAAACGATTTCAATGAAACTAATATATATACTAGGGTTACAAACGAGACAAATCAGCAATTATGTTACTAACAAAACGTCGAAGATATCTCCCTCGTAAAATAGCATTTTAGTGACGTGCGAAAATACTTTAAACGCCAACGCGCCTGCAGAATACTATACTCATAATTATATGTACATATATGTATATGTATATATGTATATATATACATGTATCCATATACAAAAAACATATATGTATGTATGTAAAAAAATACTGTTCATACGTATTTCCAAGTATGTGGTTTATATATGGAAGTGGACAGAAGTCCCCACATTATTGTCATCAGGATTGTCAAATTGTCAACCATCCACCAAACTTGCCTACGAATCGTGCTGAATACAGAATTTGTTAAAATGTGAAGAGACACAAGCATGAACAATAATAGAAGTTACGTACATATGTATATGTATAATTTTTAGAATGAAATGGCGTAAAGTGTGTATCTCTGGAGATATATCGCGTCTAGATGGGAAATTCCAAATGATAAAAAATTTGTTTGAAATCGAGATATTGTGGCTGTGTTTAAAATGTCAGAAGTCGTCGATACAGAACTATTAGTGAATTGCACAATACTCGCTTTCAGGCGATTTGACCTCAATACAATTGTTAACTCGTCAACATTAAATAGCCTTAACCGGACGGAAATTATCAGTCTGCTGTCAGGAATAATAGAGAATAAGGACAACTTGGAAAACATTAACGAAGCGAAGTGAGTTCAATAGATAATATTTTGTGTTTAGGAATCGAGCTGTATGTACATGCATTAGGCTGATTAAAAAACCCGTTTTGTTTTTAAATTTATGTGCGATGTCTTTGAAAGCATCAAGAAAAAACATGTTGCTGAAAATTTGAAAGAAATCGGTGATCGTTTAGGGGTTCCTCAACGCGATTATTAATTCTCAACAAAGCACCGGAAATACATCTTCGGTCAAAAATATCGCCTATTTTCCACAAATATTGAGCTAAATATCTAAAATTTCGCACGTACCATTGTTAAAGACCAGGACTGCAAACCCCTCCAAAAACCGGTGCGGTTCGGTTCAGTGGTTCGGACCATTTAGAAAAAGCTTGTACCGGTTCATGAACCGGTGCATGAGTATTCCTGAATCGCAGTTCGGTTCGGTTCAAATGGTTAAATTTATTTAATGCTCAAGGATAAAAATTTTACAAAAATGTGACAAATCTATGTACACTGCCGGAACAAAATATTGGCACAGCAAATTTTTCACAATATATGCAACAATTTTTATTCTAATATTTTTTCGCCAATTTTGTATAAAAATATGGTTCATTCAACAACAAAAAACATAAAAATATAATTCCTAAACTTTGTGCAAAACTCGCGAAAAATTTTAGAGTTTTGCAGCTCATTCTAGTAAAAAAATGCAAGTTCGGAGTTAGCCAAAAATCGCGTTGATTTTTGAGATTTTCTTTTTTTGTTGAAGGTGTTTTGCATTTTTTCCATATAAATTATTTTGGAAAACAATTTGTTGTATGGAAGATACTGCGTGAAAAAAAGCCAAAAATCGACGGTAAATCCTAGCTACTTAAAACTTGCACTTTATTATAATAAAATTGACTCGGCTACTGTATATACCGTGATAAAGAAACTTCTTTTCGTGCTGTCAAAACCGGTTTTGAAAGCGACTAATAGAAGATGTGTGTCGATCCCATTCTCACGGGTCTTTTCCAAGTTTTGGGCTGTTGCGAATACGATATATATGGTGGATTTGGCAGATCTGAAGCCACACTAGTAAGGCGCAATCAGTTCGTTAATGGTGGGCTTCAGTCTTTCACAAAAAACGCTCGATAAAATAGTTGGCGCGCATGGCGGGGTCGCCTTTCTTGTGGATTGAGCAGAGCACACTTGAATTTCAGTCGTTGGGCATGCACTTTATCAGCTCCTCACCATCGTACTTGAATAGCTCGGCTGGCAGGCCGTCAGCTCTAGCAACTTTGTTATTTTTCATCACCATAATCGCTATTCATACCTCGTCATAGTCCGGCGCTGGGACATCTATTCCATCGTCATCGACTGGGGGCTCGGGTTCGTCTTCTGCTCCCATTCAAAAGGGTCGAAAATTGTCCCCTCCTTTGCACACACGTATTTCGACCTCTCTCTTCTTATTGCGGTGAATACGTCCAGCTTCCCCCTTCAGTTCTCTATAACGGTTCCACATGGCTCGCGTTGCGTCCGATCGCAGCGTGGTCCTGTAGGCGGCAGCTTCTTGACACTCCTCATGGTACCAGTAATGAACCGGAAATGTGGTTTCACTGCTCGCGTATGTCGGTTTGTTGAAGAGTGCTCTTTCACAGCAGGTATTAGAGTCGAGTGACGAATGAATTGGCCGTTTGTTGTGATTGCAGCTTTTCGGCGTTGAGCTTTTTCCATGCATTGTTGCACATTTTTCGCTGCACGAAGGCGGGTGAGTATTTTGGCTGCAACAAGATACTGGTGCGAGTCGATGTTTGGCCCTCGGAGTGTAAGTATGTACATCTATAACACCGGAAGCGTGCCTTCCGTCTATCACAACATACTCGATTTGGTCTCTAATTTTTCGAGCTGAAAACAGCCATGTAGCTTTATGAATCTTTTTATGCTAGAACCCAGTACTACATACTAACATGTTTCGGGCCCGGCGAAGTCGAAGAGCCGCAGCTCGTTATCGAAGGTTTCGTCGCGGAGGATGAATTTTCCGATAGTGGCACCAAAGATCTCTTCCGTGCCCACCTTGACATCGAAGTCGCCAAGCACGAGTTTTATATCGTGACGGGGGAAACGCTCGAATGTTATATCCAAGCGCTCATAGAATATATCCTCGGGGTATCGGCGCATATGAGCGAGATGGTGAAGAATCTCTTTTTTATGCGGATTGGGGCTAGCCGTTCGTCGACTTACCTTCGCGTTACCCTGCCTTGCCCCGTCCATCGCATTTCTTGGATGGCGGTGATGTCAGCCTTAGTCTTCCCGAGGACACCAACAGCCGGGCAGAGGCACCTTCCCCATTAAGGGTCCAGATATACCCCCCATCACCTTTATACGTTTGCCGTGGTCGAAATAAAAGAGGGGGGTCTCATCCGAGGCTTTTCTTACTTGGACGGGGTTTTAATGTGGGGGACCCGCACCCTGCGCACGCGAAGTTTTGCGCCTCACTCCCAGAAGATACGTGGATATAAATATCCGGACGTAGTGAGCGAATATTTCAACTAAATCCCGTATAGTAAACCAAATAGCCGGACAAGACGTTGCATTAGATCTAAAAAACTTCGATGTATTTTATTGACTTGCATCCCTAAGGAAAATATGGTATAACACAAAATGATGGCAAATTTAGCCAGAAAGAGGAAGGTTGCAGGGTTGCGTTTTTGCAAATTAAGACGAAAATCGTAAATTTCTAGAACAATTCGATACATCCGAATTTCAGCACCACAATGTTCGATTTCCAAAATTCGGGATTTTGGAGCTAAAATTCGATGAAAACTCGAATCTCGAAGCTTCGATAATCGAATTTACATATCCCTAATATATATATACATCTCACGTTAGCTCGCTAGAGGATACGTGGATATAAATATCCGGACGTAGTGAGCGTATATTTCAACTAAATCCTGTATAGTAAACCAAATAGCCGGACAAGACGTTGCATCAGATGGAAAAAACTTCGATGTATTTTATTGACTTGCATCCCTAAGGCAAATATGGTGTCTGTAGGGTGATTAACTGCATGTTTTTACACTTGTTTAAATTCTTGAAGTTAAATTTAATGTTCTATGAATTTGTTTGTTATTAGAAAAGAAAAATGTTTATTAATAAATAAACTTTCTGTATTAAAACTTAAAAGATATTTCTTCTAAAAATTAAATCATCTAATGAAATCTCTAGAAATATCTTTTAAGTTTTAATACAGAAAGTTTATTTATTAATAAAAATTTTCTTTTTAACAACAAACAAATTCATAGAACCATAAACTGCAAATCAAGAATTTAAACAAGTATAAAAACATACAAGCAAAATACCCTACATATACATATCATTAGATGATTTAATTTTTAGAAGAAATATCTTTTAAGTTTTAATACAGAAAGTTTATTTATTAATCAAAAATTTTCTTTTTAACAGCAAACAAATTCATAGAACCATAAACTGAAAATCAAGAATTTAAACAAGTATAAAAATATACAAGTAAAATACAAATGTAGGGTAATTAACTGTATGTTTTTACACTTGTTTAAATTCTTGAAGTTAAATTTATTGTTCTATGAATTGGTTTGTTATTAGAAGAGAAAAATTTTGAATATTAATAAACTAGTTTCAAACAAGAAAGAAATAAATATTTTTAAATTGAATATCATATTTTATGATATATTGGCGATCCTGCAAGGAGGTGAAGCTCGAGCCAGTTCTTAGTGAAATGCGTGAAGGTGTATAGCTTTCATCGAATGAGTTATCGGCATATAAATACATTGCACTGATTCGCGTCTTGCGATGAAACTGCACATTTACTAATGCGGTAGTTAGCCATCAGACTGCCAATAAGTGTCGATTATCATATCACGCAGACGTTCAACGCCAAATCCTGGTTTGCAAGACAACAGACTCCAAACAGCTTGGTTGCCAATTTCTCGCACAGCTCCGGAAAGTTTAAGTGGGAGCAGATCTTGGTTTCTGATCTCCTCATCGCCGTTCCCTTCCGTTTTGACAAAAATTTATAAGAAGGGTTTGTCCTATTGCCAGGAGCAATTGATAAAGGTCAAAGCATCAACAAAAGCAACAACAGTTTCGCAACTATCAACGTATCTATACCAGCAGCATCAGCTACCACCGCATTAGCAGCCATATATTGCCGTCTCAAGATTATGAGTTGCATCATTGTTTAGATAGCAGAAAGGAAAATCAGGTCAACAGCTACTATAACTGATGTAGCAACGGTAGCAGAGTTATTTTCAGTTTTCCTGTTACATGTAACGAAGGAACAGAAATTAGTAGTTGTTTTTCATTAAAAAAAAAAAATCGTGTCTTAAGTCTTTCGTTTAATCATTCAGCTTTTGTGAATATGTTAATTACTCTTCGACTTTGTTTACTTGTTTTTAAAATCAAAATTATTTATTAACAAAACAGAACAAAATTAATTTAAATTAATTTGGAGATTTATCAACCTACCATTTTAAATATAATTAAAATTTAAACCCATTTTTTTTAAAGAAATTTAGAATTACAACTAGATAATATAAATAATTTTATATTAATATAATTAATTTTTATTAACATTTATTTAAGCTTTTAATACTTTCTTCGTCTATAAATATATGTATACATAAATATTTGTGTTAATTTAAATTATTGTTACTTATATTTATTTTGTACACTTCTTCTCCAGTTTATTTCAAAATGCAAAGATCACCAATACGTACACGCAACTTCACAACAACAACAGAAAATCAACACGAAAATCCAATACACACATCAGACATAAACATTTCACAAAGTATACAATCTAATAACTTTCCAAATGAAAATAACTTAAGTGCGAATTTATCAAAATCTATTAAATTGCCTCATTTTTGGGAAGATTGTCCTGAAGCATGGTTTCTCCTTGTGGAAGGACAATTCGAAATTAACAATATATGTGATGATAATATCAAATTTCAAAATATTCTAGTTTTTCTTCAAAAATAATCAGTTTCTAAAATTATTGATGTTATTAATCC